TCTGAAAAAAATCTTAGAACACGAGAAAATTGGTGAATGCCACTAATTCTCCTAAATCACTCGCACGCACAATTTAAGAACAAATCTGTTCATTTGAACGGTTCTTGCATGAGGCCATTACTCTGTTGGACCCAGTTTGGTCCAAACTTCAGTTGTCAGACAGGTGGGCCCAAATTAGACTCTAAAACCTTTTGATGTCCAGAGGAGTCTGTGGTCCACTCAGTGACTGCAAGGATCCCAAACCATCAGCTCTCCACCACCGTGCCTAACAGTTGCTGTGTTTGTTGTCATGCATTTTGGGTTAACATCTGTTCTTTGTTTCTTATGTATMTGAAGGACATTATCCCAGAAGTTTTGTTTCTTTCAGATGAAACTTTTCAAATCCAAGTCGTGCTGCCAAGTTATTATTTTAGGGAAGGAGCTTTGTTTTGCAAGCTTTCTAAGCAAGAACCATTTTTTCACTCTGTTTCTAATTGTCCTGTCCTGGCATTTGACATTTAACCTGCTAACTGAGTCCAKTAGAGTCAGATGGAGCTCTTGGGTTTCAGAGCGTAATGGACAACAGCAGTTGCTTCTCAAAGGTCATTGATAATTATTGGCATTGACATTGTGTTAACACACATCTGTGTGCTCCAGAGTAGGAGAYTGGCAAAACTCCCGCTTTTCTAGAGGTGGTCCCACTAAAATGTGTAAAAACTATTGATAATAATAAAAATATTATTAATATTTTGGATATGTATATAATCTATCCTTAGTAAAGTCAGAAAGCTGTGTGTTATGGTTTTACCAACAGAAAAGAAAAAGGAAAATGTCTCATTTTACAAGTCAGCAGATTTTATCTTATTTACCTCRATGTGGATGTGATCTGACCAGAACTGAAGCTAATAATGTAACAGTTAAAAATTAAAATCAGCTTATAAAGTTGATGTAATCATTGTTAATGACTGAACTGCTTAGCAGATAGTAGCTTCTGTAGCATATTGTTATAGAGTTATAGAGTGTTGAATCATGCTACAATCTAAAACTAATTATTAAATATTACAAGCTGGTTTTCCCTCTGGTTTTTTGTAATATTTATACCATGTAAAATAATATTTTATATTTGAATATTTTTAGGTTTCTATTCGACAAACTTTACCTGTTGAGGAGATGGTTAGCCAATATCAGTAGAAGTTGCATCCTAAAGTGTGTAGGGGTGTAAGTAAATATCGATACACTGAAATATCGCAATATTTCATTTCCCGATACTGTAT